TGCATTGTTGAGAGAAAGAAAAAAGCAGGTAAGTCACGTTGTTTTACAAACATTATAAACACTATAAACATGGATTTTAGTTTGAGTCACTCCATAACAATTGCTTTAAATAAAACAGTTCCAGAACAAGTTTATTTGTGCAGTGCATTGCCCATATGCCACAAGTTTTGCTTTAAATAAATTAATTCATGCTTTGCTTTTATGTGGGGTTTTAAAAAATGTAATATCCTTAAATCAGGATACATGTACTGGAGATGCAAAATGAAGATATGAAGTCTTATGAAAGTTCTGATTAAAACAAGAACAAATATCGGCCAATAGGGTGAGGAAAAATGATCTTATTTTCCCTTTGAATGAAGTTGATTTTCTGACTCCGTTAGCAGATATTTGTTCTTGTTATAATCATAAACTCTCTTCATTTTGTTACATTTCTCAGAAAACGACTTGTCTTTTCATATCTCGTGTAATTTTGTGTCTCAAGTAGATGTATCTTGATTTAAGAATCTTTAGACATTTGCACTGAAAAACAAGACGGAAGAAAGAACGTTATTTTGCAGTGTGATCAGAATTTACAGTAATAGTTATTTTCATATTCTAGTGCTCGAGAGCAGAGCTTATTCGATCCATTTTCATGTAAAACAAATTAAAAAGTAATGGAGATCTTGCTTTCCATTGCAAATGTGTGGCTTTCAGCACGTTTTGCATGCTGGATGTGAATTGCATTAAGTCGCAGCACGTTTCAGATATACAGTAAATCCAGTATCTGACTGTAAATCTCTCTGTCTGTCCTCATAGAGTGCGGCTGATCTCTAACTCCAGTGTTTCTGTGCACGCCGACCACAGGACCTTCAGACAACACCCAAACACCTTAATAATTGTGCTGCTGCACTGCTCATAACATCGTCACTATCACACAAATGGCACTTTGTTTGACTCACACTAAAGACAGTCATTTTGCGAGGTTGAATGTGGGGAACGTCAGGGAATTGTGCATTGAAGGGGCTCAAAGCAGAAGACTAATCCTCACAGCGTCTTATTTACCAATATGATTTTACTAAGTATGTGTCATATTTATATGTTGGTGCAAACTTATCTTTTGTTTTTTGTAAGCAAAGGCTTATCTCCAAAATCAATTATTTTGTTCATTTTGTCTTAATTTATGAAGAAAATTAATTTTATCATCTGAATTTTAAATATACTGCTTGTCAGAATGTAAACGCGTGTTTATAATCATCTCTTAATATATTCAGTTGGCATCTAGTCATGAAAAAATGTTTAGTTGAAGTGAAGGAAAACATGAGATGAAGCATCTAGCAAGCATTTATGACGGGAACGTGTGATGATTTCTTTTTGTCGGAGATTAGTCTGTTGGCTTCAGAGTTCATGTGCGTTTCTTCACGCTGAGGACGTGTGCCCACATTGTGAACGTGAAGTATTTAATGTTCGTTTTCAATTACATTAATTGTACAATTCCCAGAATGCATACGTTTATTGTAATTAAATGCTGAATATTAGTGTTGCAGCTCATCAGATATCTTCATTTGAACCACAGCCAGTGGATTTTCTTATAGTTCTATGCACTTACATGCTCTGCGTAATCTATATCTAGTGTAAACGATAAGCCTGCATTAGTGAGGACATATCATCAGAAATGACCTGTAACGTACTCATGCCATGGCATCTTTTGGGTTTGTAACTTCAGGGGCCCTTGAAGGATTTCCTTTCAACAGTTGTGAACTGTTTTGATGCAATTTGTTAACACGTAATTCTTTTCTAAAAGTGGTTTTATTCGTTTGTTGCTGCCTCGCTGAGACAAATCACTATCTGTTTATTCATGACTTTTACCCAGGATGCACTTGTTTTATGTGTGATGAAAGAGATCAGGATTTTGAGACTCGTTCGGTAGATGTGCAGCACGTTATGTGTCAATATTTTTGTCCAAAGTTCAAGATGAATCTGTGCCAAATGCAGCCTGATGTAGTTTGGCAGCTTGTGTTGAGAGGTTGGTTCATGAGATGTTGCTCGTGTCTGTGTTAATGTACTGCTGTTGTGTGCCATACTTTTGTTCAGGACTGAATCCTGAATGAATACATTCGATTTTTTATTTATTTTGGCTAACTTGAATGAATTGTCACGTTTTAGCATCATACCAAATTCCATTTTTGATTGAATTGTTTTTTCCCAAATGTTCCATCTTTTCCGATCTTAATCTCAGGGTTGAGCAGGGTTCTATTGCGTTGTTGGTTGACATTCTTACCCAAAATGTATTTATCCTGAACTGACTTAACCCAGTTGGTCAGCGTAATAAACTGGCTTCTTTTACTTTGCCGTCGATCTCACACTCATTTGTGTTTGCATATAGTTTTATGATTAATATGGCTAGCAATTTTTTATTTTTTTACCCATAACTGCATAACATTTAATGAAGCTTATTTCTGCCACGGAATTCCGAGGAGAAAAGTCATAATTGTGAAATTTAAACTCGGAATACAGAAAAAAAAGTCAACATTGGGAGATGCAAACTGGGAATTCCAAGAAAAAACCCAGAATTCCAAGGGGAAAAAAAGTCCAAATTTCAAGATGCAAACTCGGCATTGTGAAATTTAAACTCATAATTCCAAAAAAAAACAAAAAAAACATCAGAATTGTGAGAAACTATAAACCTGGAATTCCGAGGAAAAAAAAATGGTGTGATGCAAACTGGGGATTCCAAGAAAAAAAAAACAGAATCCTGAGGACAAAAATTCAAAATGGTGAAATTTAACTCGGAATTCCGAGAAAAAAAGTCAATATTTCAAGATGCAAACTTGGCATTGTGAAATGTAAGCTTAAAATTCCAAGAAAAAAAGTCAGAATTGTGAGATACTATAAACCTGAAGGAAAATTCCAAGGAAAACCTATAATCCTGAGGAAAAAAAATCATAATTGTGAAATATAAACTCAGAATTCCAAGAGAAAAAAGTCAGAATTTTAAGATTAAAAAGTCACAAAAGCAGTAATTCAAACCTACAAACACGTGCACATTTCAGTCAAGATTTATTTCTGAATAAATCTGAACTTACAGGAAGACAGTTGTATTGCAAAGACAGATTTGAGACAAGTTTCAGTTTGCTTTGATGACTGAAAATACGGTGGCCGAGAAGTGCAAAGCAGATCACAATTCTGAAAACAAAATAACAAATTACAAACGCAAATGCAAGTCTAAAAAACAAAATAACAATGCAGAAAGCACAACAACAATTCAGAAAACATTATAACAAGTCAGAAAACACAATTACAAATTCGAAAACAAAATAAGTCAGAAAACACAACCACAAATCCGAAAACAAAATAACAAGTCAGAAAACACAACCACAAATCAGACAAACCGGAAGAGGTAGGTATAGTTTGAGACAGCGTCATTGGTTTGGGATTACTCACCGCTGACTGGACGAGACATCTGTCAATCAACGTATACAGGAAGAACCAGCCGAAGAACAGCAGAGTCGTGGTAGAAAGTTCGGAGATGGTATCAAAGTAGCTCAGTTTAAATGTATTGTATAAATTGTCCTTACTCTGGAATAAAAAATACGGAGTGTATATTTACATTTAGTTAAAAGTGGTTATAAAACATCAGCTCCAGTGGTGCAGATGGATAAGTGTGTGTCTTTGGCTTTTTGACGCGATCGACCCGGGTTCGATCCCACCTTTTGCCGAACTTTTTTTTTCTCCCTTTGCAAATCTTGTATCACTTCGTAAAGGCATTTATTTTCAATAAAAATTAAGGAAATAATCAAAAAGTTGAAAATAAAGTATCAGGTAGGGTTAGGGTAGGTGTAGGGAGGGCTTTATTGTACCAATAAGGTGGCATCCATTTAATAATTAAAATTAAAATGATAATTTACACTCAATACGTTATTATTGCATACTGTTTTAAAATGTACTATAATACTGAAGTGCAGATAATTGCCACTATTTGCAACAAGTAGTATACTTGATAGTAGAAATCCTGCTATTTTAACATAGTGTAAATAGGTATTTGCACTTAGTGTAAATAGCATATTGCTAAAAATACTGCTATTTTCACTTAGTGTAAATAGAATCCATTGCTAATACGAGATTTGAAAAGGGAGGAAAAAAAAGTTCGGCAAAAGGTGGGATCGAACCCGGGTCGATTGCGTCAAAAAGCCAAGGACACGAGTTTATCCATCTGTGCCACTGGAGCTGATGTTTTATAACCACGTTTAACTAAATGTAAATAGACACCCCGTATTTTTAATTCCAGAGTAAGGGCAATTCATACAATACATTTAAACTGAGCTACTTCAATACCATCTCCGAACTTTCTACCACGACTCTGCTGTTCTTCGGCTGGTTCTTCCTGTATACGTTGATTGACAGATGGCTCGTCCAGTCAGCGGTGAGTAATCCCAAACCAATGGCGCTGTCTCAAACTATACCTACCTCTTCCGGTTTGTCTGATTTGTCGTTGTGTTTTCTGACTTGTTAATTTGTTTTCGGATTTGTCGTTGTGTTTTCTGACTTGTGATATTTGTTTTCGGATTTGTCATTGTGTTTTCTGACTTGTTATAATGTTTTCTGAATTGTTATTTTGTTTTGTAGACTTGCATTTGCGTTTGTGATTTGTTATTTTGTTTTCAGAATTGTGATTTGCTTTGCACTTCTCGGGCACCGTACTGAAAGCCCTCCCACAGATAATGAACTCAAAACCCTCACCAGAATCCAAACAGCTTCTTTTCATTTGTTCCTGACATAAGGTCACGCACTGCTGAAGGCGTCTGATGGCCAGTATGTGTAGTTTATGTCTACGATGTGTAAGAACAGGATATTTCTGCTCCGATGAGCCTCTTTTGATGCAAAGAGGGTGATTCGACTATTGCTAACCTTTTCTCAGAACATACTCATGTTGAAGCCAAACGCATCTATACCCTTCTGCTCGTCTCCAAGGCCTAGTTCAATGGCAAACTTCTCCGCAAGATTCCCATCAACCTCACCTGAAAACAATCGCTTTCAGTATCTGACAGAAGTGAGGTGTTTCAATCAGGTAGTTCTTGATCTCATTGAGAAATTAACAACAACAGCAGCAGCAGCAGTGCACAAACACAACAACAAAACGAACAGTTCATTTGGCTGGCTGGATGTTTCGCCCTACGTCGTCTACTACAATTTCACTCTGAAACATTATGCAAGAAATCGAGACGATGTAGAAAATGTAGAAAAATATGAGACTTTAAAGGGGGGAACACCAAGAAAACCAAATTGCACAGTAGGCAAAAATACATATTTTCATCCTGTTGGTCTTTAAACAGATACAGTGTTCACCACTACAGCCAGTGCACGAGGTCCAACTCATAAAGCAATCACAGAAAATAAAAAATACTCCTAAACGAATAAAGTTTAGTGCTGTTAAATTCACATCCGCTATTTCAGCCTCAAAAACAGTGTCATGAACCTCTGGAAAAGCTTTCGTTTGGTTGCTTTAAATAATTCGTACGCACTAAATCTCAGCAAGTATCATCAATGTCTTATTCGCTGAAATGACTGCTGATGAATTCCTCACAAGAATGAAGATCCCAGATATTCTCCTTTCTTTTTTGCTTCATATATTGCTTTAGAGATGTTTTTGGGAAGTCCTCGTAACTCTTCCCGCTGGAACTGGATTCACATGTTCAAGATGTTCAATCCACTCATTTATTGGTCCATTGCTTATTCATGAGCTAAAGCCCGTTCAAAGACAATAACTATAACAACTACAAAGTTTTAATAATCCTTCTAATTCAAAGAGAATAGGGAAGTCCACACTACAACTATAACGATAACGACACCCAGCTAACAAAAATAACGTTTTGCTGACGCTCCCATTAAGTTATGAAAACGTTATTTCTGAATGTTCTTACTGTTTAAAATGTTTTTTAAATAGTTTTTTCTTGGTTCTGCGAAAGTTAAGGGAGCATTCCACTTTATCGTTTCGTAAACATGGGAACGTTAGTAATTCTGAAACAAGTAGCAACTTTAAAAAATGTCGGATGAATGTGCAACTAAAAAAAAACTTCTGTGAATTGTGTATAAATAATGTTTTTGTGCTACCATTTTTAAATTTCAGTTAAGTTAGAATAGAACAAATGTTCTATTAGCGTTACTGGACGAAGGTTTGTTCATAACTTTGAGAGAGCGTTCAGCGAATGAACGGTAAAAACACTGACAGCCAATCAGAATCCAAGAGCTCGAGCATTTAAAGCAGCAGATGACAAAACTGTGGCGTGCTTATAATAAATATATCAAGTTTTAGTACTCGTTCTAATTCAAAGAGAATAGACCAGTTTGGAGTAGACGTCACCGTTACGTCACTTGCAACTGCGCGCGCATTTTGGTGGCAGAAAAGCACTGGGAACAAGTGGAGGGAAACGGGGAAAATCCATGGAACAAGAGAAAAAATGTATTGTGCCTTTGAATGTCAGAATCGGAATCCAAATCATTTTTATAGAATACTGTCGTCAAAGACGCTACTTGAAGCTAAACGCAGACGTTTAAACGGACAGACTATGGATGAGACCTGCTATGATTACACTACTTTTAAAGCATAAATTTGATTTAGGTCTACATAATATTCACATAGACTACTATTCAAACCTATAACATTTACCAATTTTATCTCACCATTCTGACTTTTTTTTCTCGCAAAAGCAAGTTTAAATCTCCTCGTTCGGACTTTATAACTCAATTTAACTCAACAATTGCGAATTTGTCCATTCTGAGGGAAAAAAGCCAGAAGTGTGGGATTATAAACTCATGATTCTGAGCCGAGGGGAAAAGAGAGAATGACGAGTTGATTTTTCTTATCAGAATTGTGAAATATAATCTCGGAATTGCGAGAAAAAAGTCAGAATTTTGAACTATAAACTCAAAATTACCGTTTTTATTCCATGGCTTCTGTAGACTGCTACTATAAAACGGTAATTTTCTGCCTCCAGATAGACTCCGCCCACAAAAAACATCATCACTGTTTGCAAACACCGAAACTGGTCTATAGCAAAGAACTTATACTGATATAGGTCTTCTATACTCTGTCTATAGGGAAGTCCGCATTGTGAAAACATTATTTCTGAATGTTCTCTGAACGATCAAAATGTCCAGTTTTTTAAATGTTTCAAAAACATTGTTTTCTTGGTTATATGGTAACGTTAAGGGAACATTCAATTTGATCATTTTACAAATGTTACTTTTCTCTGAAGGTTCTGAAACAAGTAGTAACATTTAAAAAAAAATGTTAGACATCCGTTTCAGAAAATTAGTTTCAGAACAGTGAATGAACAATAAAAACACCGACAGCCAATCAGAGTCCACCGGAAATCTGAAGACAACAAAACTGTGGCACGCTTATAATAAACAGAGCGTCAGTTGGTGTGGATGCTAATATAGTTATCGTTACAGTTATCGTTCTGAATGCAAACGGGTCTCCTGTGCGGTATTTCACAGTTTCAGTGCAATGTTTCTTCAAATTGCAATCTCTATTAGGAATGTTAGTCGAGCCGACCGGAGAATCAAGTCATTTTTTGCGCTGTGATAGCGCTATAGACTCCGTTCCGGAGAGTTTCGAGTCTGCTTGTGCACGTGTTTGGACCTCTACACGCAGATCTCTATCGTCGTCGTGACCAGGATGCGGCTGCTAGGCGGGCTGTCTCTGGCCGAGCGCTCGTAACTGTTGGTGGACGACACGGAGCTGTTCGTGGACACGGAGGTGAAGTGGTGAGCCACTCCTGACTCCATGCCGTTGGTCTTGGAAGCCGTCGGAGACAAGGTCTGCTGCTTCATACGGTCCACCAGCAGCTCCTCCTCCTCAGACGAAGAGTTCAGCGCGGCCTGGCCATCCAGCATCCAGCAGTGGCCAAAATACGCGAACACCTCCTTGACCGAGCAGCGGCGCTCCTGCTCCAGAGCCAGGAGCTTTCGGAACATGCGCAGAGCTTCGTCTGTGAATCTGCGCCACTGCGACGGCACCGCGACCATCCGCCTCCTCTGCCAGCGCACGAACTCCTCGTAGAAGCTGTCAGACGGCATGGCCTTCTCCCAGGAGAAGTTCCCGGTCAGCATGCAGAACAGCAGCACTCCGAAGGCCCACACGTCTGTGCTGTAGTCCACGCAGAAGCCCTCGTGCTTGGACGAGTCGCAGAGCTCGGGCGCCGTGTACGGGATGGTGCCGCTCACGCGCTTCACTGGCGAGCCGGCGTGCCGCGTCATGCCGAAGTCCGACAGCTTGACCTTGCGACACTCCTTGTCAAAGATTAAGATGTTCTCGGGCTTGACGTCTCTGTGCACCAGCTTTTTGGAGTGCAGGTACTCCAGAGCGATGGCCACCTGATGGACGCAGCGCTTCGCCACCGGCTCCGGCAAACCCACCTGAGCCAGAAGATTGAGAGTAACAATGATCACCATCATCAGAGTCTATATCAAGATTTAAGGGATTGCAAATTCTGTCATCCAGTAGTTTCTTTCTTCTCTGGTACATAAAAGAAGATATTTTGAAGAATGCTGATAACCAGGTAGCCATTTTTTTGTTTTTGTTTACCCACATTATTCAAAATATCTCATGCAGGTTTGGAACGACATGAGGAGAGTAAATGATGACAGAATGATTTTCGATTTTAGGTGAACTGTCACTTTAAGAACAATTACATGAACAGTTCACCAACAATCATATGTGCAAGTTTTGGCTGAATATGGACTACTTTTTGTAAACCAATTGTTTAAAAGACAATTGTGACCCTGGAGCACAAAACCAGTCATAAGGATCAATTTTTCGAAATTGAGATTTATGCATCACCTGAAAGCTGAATAAATAATATTTCCATTGATGTATGGTTTGTTAGGATAGGACAATATTTGGCTGAGATGCAACTATTTGAAAATCTGGAATCTGAGGGTGCAAAACAATCTAAATATTGAGAAAATCTTTTTTTTTATGTTGTTTAAATGAAGTTCTTAGCAATGCATATTACTAATCAATAATTAAGTTTTGATATATTTACAGTAGGAAATTTACCAAATATCTTCATGGAACATGATCTTTACTTAATATCCTAAAGATTTTTGGCATAAAAGAAAAATCTATAATTTTGACCCATACAATGTATTGTTGGCTATTGCTACAAATATACCCCAGCGACTTAAGCCTGCTTTTGTGCTCCAGGCTCACATTTAATATTTAGTAATAACAGAGATCTGGCTGCACTAATCACAAAACCTGAACCAAATTGAATCCACATTGGATAATGTCTTCTGTAGAGCTGCTTAACAGCTAAAACTGAGTTTGTTTCATAACTGATGAACTTTGCAACATTTGTAATACTGTTATTAAACTCAGTTGAATCAACAATGAACTAAATTGAGCTGAATGACAAGCTGATTTGAATCTGTTTCAGAATTGATAAACTTTGTGACATCGACACTGTTATTGTATGAATTGCTACAGAAAAAAATGTGACTTGATTTTATGGAGCTTTTTGTATATTTTGGCTCTTGATCGGTCACTACTTTTGTTCTCCGTGGAAAAATAGCAGCACCCAGGTTTGTAACAACACGAGGGTGAGTTTCTGTACTCGTGTGCATCACCTGTGGTGGAATGATATCGAACAGGTCTCCAGATGGTGCATATTCCTGCGCAAAAACATAGAACTCCTCTGTTTCAAACGCAATGCCGAACATGTTGATGATGAAGGGACATGGAGAAAGATAGAGTGAGATGCTGTACTCTCTCAAGAAGCTCTTCAGCTTGGTTGTTTTCTTCTTTAGAAACTTCAGAGCCATCTTGGTACCTGTGGTTGAGGAAAACAAAGCATGAGTTGGACATGATGATTTCAGTGAAAGCATTACTGGCTCACAGAAACCTCAGCCGACACGTCTGTCAGAGTAATGAGTGTTAATCACTGTTCACACCTGCAGAAATTCATTTAAAACCAATATCAAACTCAAGATATTAATTAAATATAATATAGATTTTAGCAGTTACATTCCATACATGCATTGTTTCTTTCAGTGTTTAATGTTTATCTATCTATCCATCCATCTATCATTTATCTATCTATCTATCTATCTATCTATCTATCATCTATCTATCCATCTATCATCTATTTATCCATCTATCTATCCATCCATCTATCCATCTGTCTATCCATCATCAATCTATCTATGTTTATCCATCCATACATCCATCCGTCCGTCTATCCGTCCATCCATCATCTATCTATCCATCCATCCATCCATCCATCCATCATCTATCCATCTATCTATCCATCCATCCATCATCCATCTGTCCATCCATCCATCCATCCGTCTATCCATCCATCCGTCCATCCATCCATCCATCCATCATCTATCCATCTATCTATCCATCCATCCATCATCTATCCATCCATCCATCCGTCTATCCATCCATCGTCTATCCATCCGTCCATCCATCCATCTATCCATCCATCTGTCCATCCATCCATCCATCCATCCATCCGTCTATCCATTCATCCATCCATCCGTCTATCCATTCATCCGTCCATCCGTCTATCCATCCATCCGTCCATCCATCCATCCATCCATCATCTATCCATCTATCTATCCATCCATCCATCATCTATCCATCCATCCATCCGTCTATCCATCCATCGTCTATCCATCCGTCCATCCATCCGTCTATCCATCCATCCGTCCACCCATCCATCCATCCATCCATCCGTCTATCCATCCATCGTCTATCCATCCGTCCATCCATCCGTCTATCCATCCATCCGTCCATCCATCCATCCATCCATCCATCCATCCATCCATCCATCCATCCATCCATCCATCCATCCATCCATCCATCCATCCATCCATCCATCCATCCATCCATCCATCCATCCATCCATCCATCCATCCATCCATCCATCCATCCATCCATCCATCCATCCATCCATCCATCCATCCATCCATCCATCCATCCATCCATCCATCCGTCTATCCATCCATCC